ACATGCGCAATTGGCCCTGCTAGCAGCCATGGATGCAGCATGTGACGACATCACAGCAGAGTCATGCAGAGGGTGGATTCGCCACTCCAGGAGATACTTTCCTCGCTGCATTGCAAGGGATGACATCCGTTGTGATGTAGATGAAAATATGTGGCCAGACAGACAGGAACGTCTGGATGTGCCAGAATGATTTGCGTATGTTCAGTTACAATATGTACTGTTACATTGTTCACATTTGTGCACAGCTCTACCAAAAGTGTGTTTCTTGTGTTCATTCTACATAAGTGACTGTAGAGTATTTTTCTTTTGCACAATGTTGTAGAATTACAAACTGCCTACACAGTAAAATTGTGAAACATACGATTTCAGTGTCTTGTACTCACTTACTTCCCTAACTACAGGAATGTCTAACTTTACTGTAGATTTTACTGTAAATGGCTGTACACAAAGTGTATAGTGCTGTCTTGAGCATTTTCAGGTAGTGTCACCGAGTTCTGACCTTTTTTTGCATTGGAAAACACTGAGAGAATACTGTAAACTGTCATAATGAAAACATGACAAAGCCATTTGACTATCTTGTTCATAAAGATGGTATCAAGACTTCTCATTTGATGACACTGGCAGTTTCATTGACCTGAATACTTGCTTTTGAGGAATGGATTATCGATTTTGAGCAAGTGACCTGCTTTTGCAGGTTATCCACTAGGTTTTGCAGTTTGCACCAATTGTTTTGAGAAATACACTAACTGCTGTGCAAATGTTAATAGTGATGTGAGAAAAGCACCAAAGCGACTGAGAAAAACTGCAGACGCCAGCAGAGTGGAGCTCCACCAGAATCACATCACCTCCACAGGAAACACATGACCTCAACTCTGTGTTACAGCGAATAAACCCTAACCTTAACCTTAACCCTAATCCTAACCATAACTGGAGCTCCACTTTAAGTCCTTAAAGATCACGTGTTTCCTGTGGAGGTGACTCAGACTGTGGCTATAGATCTCAAATTGGATAACATCACTGTGACTATTGATCGCAGATTGGATAACATCACGGAGAAGCTCACGGCTTTGCAAAGGATTTTGGATGGCGGAGACCAGCGTGGACATTAGAGGAGCTGCAAAATTACAGCTTCTCGCCCGAAAACCCAAACAACCCTATTCTATCTGCTTTTGGCTCCCTCCTAATCAGCACTGGCCTTGGCCAAGGCCGCTGCTGAATTCAACAACTCCCCCGGAAGAACAAGGCAGTGAGACTCTCTTGCATTCCTCTCCCCCAATCCCAAGGACACCTGGATACACACACACATATACATACAGTACGTACAGATACACACTCACCG